GAAGTGTCCACTGCTTGGAGAGCTGCAGCAGGGGCTGATGAGACCAGGCTGGTGCTGGTGGCCACTGCAGGCTCGGGCTCCAAGCTCTTCCAGCTGCCCCCCCTGTGCGCATAGCAGAGCCTAGCAGCTACAAGCAGGAAGTGTCCACTGCTTGGAGAGCTGCAGCAGGGGCTGATGAGACCAGGCTGGTGCTGGTGGCCACTGCAGGCTCGGGCTCCAAGCTCTTCCAGCTGCCCCCCCTGTGCGCATAGCAGAGCCTAGCAGCTACAAGCAGGAAGTGTCCACTGCTTGGAGAGCTGCAGCAGGGGCTGATGAGACCAGGCTGGTGCTGGTGGCCACTGCAGGCTCGGGCTCCAAGCTCTTCCAGCTGCCCCCCCTGTGCGCATAGCAGAGCCTAGCAGCTACAAGCAGGAAGTGTCCACTGCTTGGAGAGCTGCAGCAGGGGCTGATGAGACCAGGCTGGTGCTGGTGGCCACTGCAGGCTCGGGCTCCAAGCTCTTCCAGCTGCCCCCCCTGTGCGCATAGCAGAGCCTAGCAGCTACAAGCAGGAAGTGTCCACTGCTTGGAGAGCTGCAGCAGGGGCTGATGAGACCAGGCTGGTGCTGGTGGCCACTGCAGGCTCGGGCTCCAAGCTCTTCCAGCTGCCCCCCCTGTGCGCATAGCAGAGCCTAGCAGCTACAAGCAGGAAGTGTCCACTGCTTGGAGAGCTGCAGCAGGGGCTGATAAGACCAGGCTGGTCCTGGTGGCCACTGCAGGCTCAGGCTCCAGGCTCTTCCAGCTGCTCTGCCTGTCTCTACCCCTGTCCTGGCTGCAGTGGCCCCAAGAACTGCTGGCGCCAGCTGTCTGCACCAGTGCAGCCCAGCGGCTACAAGGAGCTGGCATCAGCTGCTACTGAGACACCTGCAGCAGGAGCTAAGGTAAGTGGGGACAGGTAGAGTCCGGGGTGGGTTGGGGCACAGTACAGCCCAGTGGCTACCAGCAGCTGATGCCAGCAGCTCCTGGGGCTGGGGTGAGTGTTGCACCCCAGGGCTCCGCTTGTCCACACCCACCCCAGCTGGCCCTGGGAGCAGCCAACAGCGGAACCTATCCCTATTTCTTGCATTATAAAGTAGGTTTGCTTTATGCAAATTTTGATTTATGCAGCATTCTCCAGGAATGTATGTACTGCATAAATCAAGGGAAACCTGTATTAAGGAAGGAGATAGTTTAAACCAGATGGAACACTGCTTTAGTTTGTCAGACCTTCTTCAAAATGTCATGGGTGAAAAGCAGCAGCTTCCAAATTGTATGGACCCAAATCATGGCCTAGCCTTTAGCTTTTAGTATGACATATATAGCATTTGGATTCCTTGCAAATTCTATGATAAAGTGCCCCTCTCCCCCACAGCCCCTGCTCCCCTAGCTGTGCAGGAGAGAGCCCCCATCTGCCAGAGCTACGGACCCACGTGCCACACTCCCAGGGGCAAGAGGGGACCTGTGCCCCCCTGATCTGTGCATGGGGCAGGCACAGGCTGCAGGCATGGGCTCCTGCTCTACTTCCCTCCCCCAGGGCCTCCGCAGCCCAGTGAATGCCACCCAGCATGGCAGGGCAGAGCAAAGTAACGTAGAGAAGCTGCTTGCTGCTGTGAGCTCCCTGCTGCCCTGGAGATGCACCCCCTTGCATGTGCTACTGTTTTTGAGGGGTGCTAACCTGCATCACTGCCCACTGCAGCTCTGAGCACAGGAGGTGTCACCAAAGCAGTGCAGAGCTCGCAGGGGGAAGCAGTTTCTCTGCTGTGCTGTCATCCTGCTTCCCTCCCCCAGGGCCTCTTTAGCCTAGTGGTCATGACTTGGCGCAGCAGGAAGCAGAGGAGCTGTGCAGAGAAGCTGCTTGTCACAGCAAGCTCTACACTGCTTCCCTCCTCCAGGGCCTTCGCAGCCCAGTGGGCACAACCTGGTGCGGCAGGGAGCATTGGAGCTGTGCAGAGAAACTGCTTGCCTCTACAAGCTCTGTGCTGCTGTGGCAACACATCCCTGTACATGGAGCTGCAGAGAGGGTAGCAGCACGGGGTTGTGTCCTTCAAAGCAGCGGCATGCGCAAAGGCTGTGTCATGGGGCAGCAGGGAATGAGCAGCTTCTCTGCGTGGCTGCAATGCTCCCTGCCAGGCTGAGTCATGCCTGTCGGGTTCTGGAGCCCCCGGGGGAGGGCAGCAGGGTGGGAGCCTGTACCTGCAGCCTGTGCCTGCCCCATGCACACATCTTGGGGGCATGGGTCCCTCTTGCCCTGGGAGTGTGTGTGGCAGTGGGGAACTGGCCCTCTCCCTCCTCCCCTGGACAAGCTACCTGCAGCTGTGCATTGTGGCCCCAAGCCCTGCCCAGCTCCTCCCTAAAGGGGCCTCAATCCTCCTCTCCTCCCCCACTCCCACTTACCTGCTGGATCTGCTCCACAGGATGCCTGGGGCCATGTGCATGTCCATGTTGGCTTAAGAATAAAGATAATCAACAGATTGATTTCCCAGTTTAAAATTAGACAATGCCATTCCATAATCAGGAAGCTCTTACTTCTTTTATAGGTGCCTATTTCCTATGTTAAACTTGTCAGTCAAACTTCCAAGCAGTCTGGAGCAAAGGTTCACCGACACCAGCATTGCAACTTGTGCATTAACATGCTGGAAAGGTTCAGACTGTATTATAGCTTCCCTCTTATGGCCCTATTCATTTTGCATCCTGTTAGCTGAAGTAGAATATCATTAGGTTAGTGCAAAGAACAGCTACCCATTGGCTATACAGCATACTGTTGGGAACACTTTTGATAGGCCCACCCTCTTCCCTGCACTAGACTGACATCCCTGCATAGTGGTTGTATGCATGCAGATTAGAACCAGAGGGAATTATTGTAAGCTTTAATTCATTTAATACATAACATTGCACAGTTTAATTCCTGACTGCTAATGCTACCCTTTTAAAGAGTTTGATATTGGTAAGCTGGCTAGCATTCAATTCAGGTAAGCAATCTTTCTAAAAGAGTAATTTTCTTCCTTCCATGAGTGGTAATGGTCAGCAACTAGTGTTTGACAGGCCATTCATAATCAAGACTGGAAGGGACCAGAGTCTGGTCAAAGCAGCAGTGCAGAGGCCAAATGCTGTAGTTCAGTCCAAGGCCATCTGTCAGAAAGATGTCCTCCTGGTGTACAAACAAAAAGAGTACTTGTTCCTTTCATAGCTCACTTCTGATGGAGGATCTACTTTCTTTGCTACAACTGTCTCTAGCCACCTTTCCTCAATGCACTGCCTTTGTCTTATCTGATATGTGACACCTCTAATTACAAGTTTCTAAACTGCATAATAAATATTTGTACAAGTAGTAAAACATGTCAGAAGTGAATTTATCTTTCCAACTTTCCTCCCCTACTTTCTCCATCCCAGTTGGCAACTTTGATACTCGCCTATGCCAGCCAGTTCTCTTGACTCCTTCCATCTAGGTTTTGCCAATTCCTGTTGCTTTTTCCCTTTGTAATCTTACTAAAACGACTATTGCAGTTGCAACCATGGCTACTATTTCCATCTCCTTCCTGTACTGTCCTTTCAGTCTATTATACCTAAATCTCTGGCTTCTCTTATGTTCCAGCCTCCATCTTCCTCTGGCAGGTCTTTTTATGTAGAAGTTTGACATTTTGAGTGGGAAACAATATAGGTGGTAAAATAAAAGCATTGGGTTTTCTCCCACACACAAGGTGACCTCACAATATACTAGGCACTAGGGCTGTGCAAAATTTCGCCAGCTGTTTTGTTTTGATGCAGTTTTGACACATTTCAAGCTTGAAACAGTGAAATTGAAACCAAAGGCTTTGAAACAGCCCCGAAACAAAACAAGGGCAGTCGAAATGTTTTGAAACATTTCAAGTTTTGAAGCTGGGCTTGCTTGCAGCTAAAGAGAAACTAAGGAGAGGGAGGGCAAAGGACTGCTGTCATACTGATGGTGTAGCTGGCCAGTGACTCATCCTTCCCTGAGGTCCCTTCCAATCCCAGTGCTCTGGGAGAGGGATGGAAAAACAGCATAAAAAGCACTGTTTGAACTAAGCTTTTTCTGTGCCATCACACTTACAAGTGACACAAGTTTTGCTCTGAACAGTGTGAGGTGCAGTTTCCCAGAAACCCCTGTACCTGTGTCCTTGAAACCTGGCAGGCTTCATGGCCTGTTGAGGCTACCATCCCTGCAAGTTTCATCTGAATCGGGCAAGAAATGACAAAGCTATAGGCAGTTTCATGCTTCCCTATTATAGCCTATGGGTGAAACATTGAAACAGCATTGAAAGAGCAAAACAGTTTTGACGAAACAACGGAAGTGCTTTCAGAATTAAACGAACCTCGAAATGGTGCTGTTTTGCACAGCTCTACTAGGCACTAACTTCCTTCAAGGGCTGCGCCTGCCCCATCCAGGCACAGTAAATGTCATACAACACACTATATCTTATTAGAAACAATAAAATATTTATGGTAACAGTGGATAGAGATAAAAATACAATTTACAGTACTTTCTAGAGCAGGCCCAAAAGCCATCATTTGATCAGATTTTCCAGTTCCAGTTCTGAGATATTCTTGAACCTTGATGCCTCAAAGTCTGGAACTTTTAAAAAGATGTACTGAGTTGCTCAGAACACTTCACCCATTAACAGCTTTGTGCTCATTTAAAGCTCCCTAAAAGAGGCAGGAGTTCAGGTAACAAGGGTATTAGGACAGAATCATTACAGCCTGTCAGTAGCTGTCAGCATGAGCCTTAAAAATGAGAACTGTAGAAAAGGTTGACAATTTTCAACACACCCGTACACATAGGGAACAAGGAAAATGAGGGACAATTCCAAATTCTGCCACTTAACTGAAAGTCAGCAAAGTTAATATCAACTATGATGCATACAACTCTGCTGGAAATTTGTCATGCTGAAGGAACCCAAGACGGGGCCCAGGAAAAGTCTAGATCCTCCTCCTCCTCCTGGTGAGTGCTCCATGTTCTATTAGCCAAACTGTTTTATGGCTGTACATTAGGGCTGTGCAAAGCTTCAGGTGCTGATTCATTTTGGAAGAGATTTGGCAGCCAAATCTCTGAATCTGAATTGAATCAGGAGACCGATTTTAAAAAAAAGTCTGAATCTATTCAGAAAATATTCAGAGAGCTTTGGAGATTCGGGCAGTCCCAGCTCGCTGCTGCAACCGGACTCCATGCTGGTAAGTAGGGGGCAGGAGAGAGGGGACTGGAGGTGCAGCAAGGGGACTATGGGTGGACTCCCCACAGACCCCCTGCCTGCTCCCCCAGCCCCCCCTAAAACCCTGCCCGCTCTCCCAACCCCACCATGGCTGCCCTGCCCAGCCCGGGCCTCTGGCTCTTTTTCTTAAAAGCCTGGCACTCGCCAGCTGCTGCAGAAGCCTCAGGGCTTCTGGGGACTCCTGGCAGAGCCCTCCCCATGTAGCGTGGGACAGCAAGGATCGCCCCCCACCTGGCAAGAGCCAAAGAGTCAGGACCTTTATTTTTATTGGGAGCTGGGGCCGGCTAGGGCAGCCATTGATGGGGCTGGGAGAGTGGGCAGGGGATAGGACCTGTCCGATTCAGAGATTCGGCCAATTTAGCAGTGGCCAAATCTCCAAATCAGATTTGGCGCAGTGATTCAAATCACCAAATCAAATCACTGTCCTCTGAATCGGCTAAATTAAAATATGAAGCAAATACTAACTGCTTCTCACAGGCCTACTGTACATACCTTTCTGTGATCTTATGGCCCGAGACCCTTGTATCTAACATAGTTTACAGCCATCAGTAAATTTCATCAGCGTTCTTTGAAGTAGAAATGTATCAGATCTGTTTTACAGATGGGAATGGGGGCATAAAGGCCAACTGGCCGAGATCTCGCAGGAAATCTGTGGGAGAGCCTGAAAAGGAAGCCAGATCACCTAAACACTACTGAGGTACTCGCATCTCTTTGTTTATCCTTCCGCTCGTGGCAAATGAATGAGATGAATATTTGGTTTGTTTCTGTATTATCCACTTAAGCAAGTCCATTTTTTAGTTTTAACTACCCTT